CCCCCAGGGGGGATGGTCACGCCGCAATCCCTTCTCCTCCATTCTCCTCTCGGGATCTTGGGCACACATGCACACACGCCCGGTGTGAGTTTTAAGCCACCGGGTCTGGGACTTGAACCGCGGTCGACTACGTGGGAGTCCAGCGACATAGCCATTACGCTAACTGCTGGTTCCCGAAATTTGATCTTCTGCATGGATTAATCTGCTTTTAATACTTTTGAGGGAGGTTTTGATTTCCTATATTGCAGCCTTCATCTCTAACCATTTCTTTTGATTCTTTTTGATGGTGTGTATTTTCTCTTTCATATTGTACAAGAACTTCTTCACCTCCTGGAACTTGTCTCTTTTCTCCCGCATCTTCTGGAACTCTTTGTCTCTCAGCTCTTGGATCTTGTTTAGTTTTGTCACTATGAATATTCTGAATTCTCCATCAGACTTTTCCACGAGTTCCACTGTACTGTCTGTGGATGATGGAGGATTGTTCTTTTCACTTAGAGGAGAGATACTTTCTTGGTTTCTCATATTTCTTGTGCCTCTGTGGTGGTTCTGGTCATTCTGTGCCAAGATCTCTCTTCTACTGTGTTTTGCAACGTGGTATCCACACAAAGAGATTATGAGTTCAGGTTTATAAGAAGAAGTTTCTTCCTTAGAGCAGGAGGTTCAATAAGTGTTGAGGATTTCAGTGACTCTCGTCTGAGTGTTTCAGGGGCCTAGAAGATGAGGCTTGTCCCTGAACACACAAGGACACACCTCAGATTTAAAATGGCTTCTTGTCTGAGTGTTTTGGGAGTCTCAAAGATGAGGCTTAGTACATAGCTTTAGTCGCCTTGGTTCCTGAACATGCCAGGACACACCTCAGATTTAAAATCTTCACTTAGCACTTTGAATGTATTTTCCTATTCTTTCCTTGCTCGCATTGTTTCTGATGAGAGGTCTGATGTTATCCTGATGGGATATCCTTTTAAAGTAATTTGACCTTTCTTTCTTGCCAATTTTAGTATCTTTTTTTTAAAAAAATATTTATTTAATTCCATTTGTTACTATTTTTTTTTTTTTTTTAAAGAATTTTTTTTTTTTTTTTTTTTTTTTTTTTG